GAAAAGCGGGGAGTGGAAAGAGTGAATGAGGAAGCAGGACAGTGACCAGAGATGGATGAATAAGATTAGTGTATATTGACATCCTGCCAAAATAGAGTAGTACTTGTTAAGAAGACCATTTACCACGGAGGGGTATACAAGAATCTGGGGGGAATGATGCAAGGCTTGCACAAGTGTTTTACACTTACACCCTCGCGATAGTAAATGATAACAGTAATCACTCTTGTAGTCCTGATGTCTAATCTTTTTAAATGCTCTGCCCACTTAAAATCTACAGCAAAGACTTGAAGCTAGATGCAATGACTGCTGTTGTCTTTGAAGTCCAGGCTAGCCTCTTCAGTGATGAAATGTGACAAATGAGACCAACTACTCCCAGCATTTCCCTTAGGAGCTCATGTAGCTCTATTTAAGAGCATCTTCCCTTTCCAGCATCATCTCAGGAAAGACAGATGTTTGTGACACTGTATTTCTGTGTGCTTTCTTCAACAGCTATCATCTCAGCAGGAGGTCGCCCTCAGTTACTTTGCTTCCTGGCTGTACTGGCCTGCTGAGCCTTAAAGCTGCTGCCTTATCCTTTCTTCTGTCAAGCTCTCTCTACTCTGTACTTAGATCTAAGTTACAACAGCCCCCTCCTGCTTTTCTTTTACCTACAACATAATCATATAAAGACAGTCTTCACCTTTCTCAATTTTGTGTGTAATTGCTCTCTCCTGACTCACAGCTTTCATTTCATTTTCATGAGGGTTACTTTGCCATCTTATTCATCTACTCATCCACTCCCTTCATCTCTGAACCTAAAACATTCATGGAGACTACTTAAGTGTTTGAGCTTATAAAACCATCTCTTCAAACCCACCATTTAATTTAAATTCTAATTCGCCAAATGTAATAATACATTTGAATATAACCACTTGGGGTAGACACATTTATATAGGCACAATGAGCATTGAAATTTGGATCTTAACAGATTCAAAGTTTGAGGTGAATTTCATGTGCACTGAAGGGGAATAAACTGAAAAGTTTTTGTGGCCAACTTCTGAGACTGAGAAAAAGTAACAAATCCTACCAGGTTCAGCTAATCCTTAGATCACAGTGGGATAAGTTCAGACAGAAGGTAAAGCAAAAACATGCACTATGCATCAAGTCTTTGGGGGAAAAAAAAGTGTCTTTTTTGGTTCAGTCTTACTTTCCAGTGTATGAATGTGTGTGTGAATGGGTGGATGACTGAATGTGTAAAGCGCTTTGGGGTCCTTAGGGACTAGTAAAGCGCTATACAAATGCAGGCCATTTACCATTTAACTCTTGTGAGAAATCTGGATGTTGAAGCTGACTGCTACAGATGCTTTTGGCTTTAAAAATCAAGAAACTAATAAAACAGATCAACATGCAGAAGAAGCTGCTGAGGCAAGTTAATTAAGTTGCCTAAACTACAAAAGCACCAGAAGCTTCATACAGGAAGTGGAACTATGTAATTAGCTCAGTCAAAAATGGGACTGCGCTCTTACTTGCTGAGTTTGCGATGATGTTTGGTGCTGCTAGGCTTTAGATCGAGATCGATTTCAGTTAAAGCAACCTGCATTAGCAGTTTGCTATCCATCAATCTTGTGTTTTGTAAGTAAAAGGTACAGTGTGTAGTGATTCGATTAGTGTGACTCACAACTAGAGAAGGAGTCTGAAAGTTAACATTGGTCCTACTAGCATCACAGTTTCACAGCTGTCTATGGCACAATATTAGCATTGAAAATAAAACATTGTATATTTTTGTCTGTAATGTTGAGGAAGCACTAAAATTAGCTGAGTGAATATTAATATTCAAAGCTAAGATACAAGTTAATTTAAACTATAAACTGATTTAGTATCTCTCAGCCCATCTCACCCTAAAACAGCATCTCTGTACTGTGTGTACACTTGGCAGTAGCCAATACTTCAATAGCCAGCTTTACAACAGTCACTACTATTTGAAGTGCTGTGCCAGCAGCGACGATGAAGAGTAAGTGTGCTACAATCATACAAAATAGCATGCTGATATAGACTGTCATATACTTCTATAGTGCTCTGTTTTTCCTGTAGTTACACTGTCATTCTTAACCACAGTCAAAGGCCAAACCTTTTTTTGAACACTAGGTTTTTGTCCTCCATCCCCCTCATACTATAGAGTGACCTCTGACCTTGCAGCTGGCTGCTCCCTTCCTGTTTCCTGCTGGTTGTGATAAAGTAGCACAGCTAGCTGGCCAGTAATGCATTACGCTACATTAATTCACCTCAGCACAGCCAGCATGGGTCATCCTCACAGAATGAGAGCTTTTCTGGACTCGCGATAGCCACAAGTAGCTTTGGTATTATCACGCAGCTGTGTTATTGCTTGTGCTCGAGGCCAAAAGGGAAACGCAGATCAAACACAAGCCGTGCTCGGCAAAGCTACCAGAAAGTCATTTACAACATCATATAAAATAATTAAAACTAGAGCAGAGCTAAGTATGTTGAGGACAAATCCAGAGACCCGAAAAAACATAGGCCTATGTTCGCCTCCTTCACTCCCAGTGGATTACAATTTTATGTAATCCAGAGATTTTGGGGAAATCATAAGAGCAGTAAGTTTCTCAATAGATTTGAAAAGCATTTTTGAGGAAATACACCAATGTGTCACATTTGCATCGCATCATAAGACTATCATGGTGTTTTTTTGTTTCTGAGTCTGTGGTTGGCTTTTTCAGTTTGAAAAATTCCTAAGAGAAACAGACAACACAGCCTCAGTACACCGAGCAGTTACAAGCTCATTTACTACAACATGAGAAGCCACTGCTGTTTCAGCAGAATGCAAAGCGCTGTACACAGGACACAGCCTGCAACTGTGTTAATACCACTGATTAAGATTTGGCATATTAGGTATCTACATCATGAAGATAAGTTCCCAAATACAAGTATTTCAGAACAAAGTAAATTAATTTCCAGAATTAAATGTCAGAATGTCAGGAGATCACACACACACACACACACACACACACACACACACTCACACTCACACTCCATTAGACCAGTCAAAGCTCTCTCCAAACTGAAACACTCTTACAGTCCTACCATCCTGTACTTTTCAGGCACTGACAGATCACATTTTTATTGACTCATGATGGTCCAGGGAAATGGGGAGAGCACTCTCCATCAGGGTTAATAGTAACTCCAGCACTGAACTTATAAATAAACAATGTGGTAAACTGTGATAAAAATATACAAAGATATTAAAAATGAATGTAGATGTTGTACTAAAGTGTACACAATGTGTATGAAATTCTGCTTTCCGGTTTGCCTCAGTCATCACTTTTAAACCTCCAGAAACTGGCCTCATTCCAGAGCAATATCAGGAAACGGCCATGACAGCAAACAAGCAACAACCACGAGACAGTGTGCTTTAGCAATGATCCAAGCACACTTATCTGTTCCTGAGCAGTCCTTAATAAATAAAAACATTGGGAAAATCCTTTCAAACGTCTTTCACCACATTTCAATGTATTTCATATTTCTTATAAACACTTTATCACAGCAGTAAATCAGACATGCTTAA